CCGGCACATGTTACATTAGGGGTCATTTGACACAAATCAACAACTTGTATCAAATTTAACAATTCAAGCTGCAAAAAATATATTCAAACCAATATCAAGCCAATCATTTTCAGTCTGCTAAGGATTCACAAGGATGCAGATATTACTGGGGATGTTGAGGAACCTTGTCACTCTGCGCTTCATTGATAACATTATCGCACTCTTTTATGCATGTGTTACGAACACTCAGAGTATGATTTTTTATTTTATTTTATTTTTTTTTAAATAAGGTTATTTTGCATTCATTAACCATTTGGCTCTTCTTGACCCTTAAATGTAACTAAACAAATTCCACCAACTATTATTTTCTGTATGAAATGAAATTATCTTGATTTAAACCAGGGGTGTCAAACTCATTTTTGTCGTGGGCCACATTTTAATTACCGTTTCCCTTGGAGGGCCGTTATGACTAAAACCATATATTAAAAGTCAATAAAAACGGTTTCTTCAACGATTGTTTACGTTCCTGTAATGAGGGGTTTGGTCACAAGAAAATACTTACAATATGTCTCTTATTTATTACATATGAGATTTTTAAATTTTGGTCGAGATTTTCGCAAGCATCGTGGAAGATGACATCTTTGATTTGCTATCGCGGATCACATAAAATGGTGTGGCGGGCCCGATCTGGCCCCGGCGCCTTGAGTTTGACACATGTGACTTAAAGTATACTGTGAAATGATTCTGAGCAAAAAATAAAATGACATAATTTAACCTATTTGTCAAGCGTGATGTGCCACTTACAAAAAAAAAGAAGTAAAACAGACATAAAATAAAGAAGCATGCAAACATGTCGTGTAATGTTTCCATGTTTCTATCGTGTACATTTAAACATTTCTTTTGTATATGGCTGAAGTCATAAAGCTACGGCGGGCAGCTGGAAGGGGAGTAGCAGGAAATGCGTACGTTTCCTCATTCATTTGCTTTCCAGAATATAGTACTAACACTTCGCTTGATGCTCGCACACAACGACAACAGGTTGTCCTCATGCATTTCTATTTTTAGAGACCCTGTGAGAAACTTAAAAAGATGACTGTCTCTGGAACCAAGTATAGTCTTCCTCAGCCTCAGCCATGAAGAAATGGCTAAATATAGACAGCCTGCCTGTCTCCTGTGTTGTCTGACACTCCCGTATCCTGCCTTCACCAAATAAGGTCGTATTGTGACTGTTGACGATGCCATTGTGACAGTATGTTAATGCTGATTGCTAAGATATGCTACAGTGTGACACAGTTCCGGAACGAACTGAAGGGAGATTGGATTCCACAAACGTAGACACAAACAAAATCCGTACCAAAAAAAAAAAAAAAAAAAAAATTATTGAGTAACAAAAACGCACCGACAAAGTATGACTAGAAATTGCTGGTAACAAAAAAAAAACATAAAAAACAAGACATTAACAAAAAGCACTTGCAAAGGCAAGGTAAGAACAAATCTGAGATGATCACCAAAAAGTGAAACAAAAAACATGAGCGAGATCAAACAAAAAAAAAAAAAAAACCTAAATACTTACAAGGTGAGAGACAACAGAGCAAAAACGACAATGACGAAATCCGGAGGTCTCAAAAACATTTTTTCTCCGCGTCACGATTCTGTTCTTGTGTGTGTGTCTCCAGCAGGTGGCAAAGGAGGGCCATCCCTCCGGCGCGCATACCTGCTGCCAATGTTTCATCAGTTAAGGCATGTATTTAAGGACTGCCTTCTTGCCGAGTCACCGTCGAATTATTGACCTTGTTTGCTGCTCATGCTCAAGTGTTGTTTTCTAGACCTCTCGAGCTCGTCATTGTCGTTTTTGCTCTCTAGTCTCTCACTTGTAAGTATTGATATTATTTTTGTCGTTTGATCTTGTTTTGTTTCGTGCAATTGGACTCTTGTCATTTTGATTATATTCTCGGATTTACTATTACCTTACTATTACGCTTTTTGTTTATGCATTATTTTTCCTGGCTCATTATGACAAGCGATTTCTGTTTATACTTTGTCAGTGCGCTTCTGGATGATAAATAATAAATGAAAAAAATTCATTCATTGATTCATTTTCCGATCCACTTTATCCTCACAAGGGTCGCGGGGAGTGCTGGAGCCTACCCAGCCATCTTCGGGCAGTAGACGGGGGACACCCTGAACCGGTTGCCAGCCAATCGCAGGGCGCACTCGACGATGATCGGAAGGTAAGAGTTTAGTTCAAGTCATCAACCCCCGTGTCTGAACACATGCGTCGGTTAAAAAAAAAGAGTTTTTATGTCTTAGTGATTAATATAACGTTAACATCTATAAAAACGTCGGGTGGAGAGGTAGTTGAAATAAATGACAAATGAAAGTTCGCATCTACAGGTTCCCCCACATCTCCAAGTACTACAAAGTGACAAGTGACGCTATTTCAGTACTAAATAAAAAATGTTGTTACGAATTTTGTTTGTATTTACTTTTGTGGGATCCGATCGCCATTCAGTTTGTCCATGAGCTGTGTCACTCCCTATTTCCCCCATTTTTGTGGAAAAGGATATTGAATGTTTATCTGCGTTTTTGAAGCCTTTTTTGCATTCATGGCACGCTGATTGAAGACTCTAAATTGTCCCTAGGTGTGAGTATGAGCGCGGACGGTTGTTCGTCTGCGTCTGCCCTGCGATTGGCTGGCAACCGGTTCAGGGTGTCCTCCGCCTAC